ATTTCTGCCGCACTTAATTGAATTGAATTCGACACGGCAGAAATGCGACGTATGAACCGGGCCTAAGGTGGCTCAATAGGGTAATGATTTATTGCCCTCCGCGCACTAGTGTTATGTTTTGAAAGCTGTTTTTGCATTTGTTTTAACACCCAGTCCTCTCAAACTTACTAAATGTAATAAGCAATGATGATATATTGATTTACTATCACTCTGTTAAATCTTGGCTTTTAATCTTGAATTATGAATGCCCAAACAAATGCGTTGTTTACCGTTTTTATGGCTTTATTTGCGATTTTCTTGAATTTCCTGCGGTAAAATCTTCCAAGTTTTTACCGTACATTAAACCCGGCGAGACACGAATTTTAAACACAAAAAAAGTAGGGTTTGTAAAGGCAGTTTTTTTAGATTTTTGCAAATTTATGTCCGCGAAAAAACTGGTCAGATAGATTTCCCTGAAAAACGAGCTCCAACTAAAGTAAAGTATTTATTACCCGTTTGCCAAATTTTACGGAATTTACCGAAGGAAACGCGAGAAAATTCTCTGTCAGTTTGCTTTTTGTGCTCATGTTGACGTCATAAAATATTGAAAAACACTGACGCTTTCCTTTGAGCGCGCGCAGATTACTTGAGCTTTCGTCCTAAGCCGGCGCGCGTGCGATCGTAAAACTATAGGGAGCTACCTTAACTTTTGATAATTATATGACCTATAGGCGTTGGTAGAAACTCCTTAAGGCTTTTGTTTCAAATGGTCAATCAAAATGCGCGAGGTGGGGAAGGAGTTTTTATGCTCCACATTTAATTGCGGCGCTGGCAATTGACATCTCTGCATCCCCGCAGATTTTGCAATTTGATTTTCTAGTTTTAATGGAAGCCATCAGAAGGCCGCCAGAACGATGTCAAAAAGTTGTTTAAAAGTTTGTTGAGATCAACTGATGTGTTCCATGACGTTTTCAGAGCAAGATGTACGGCGTTTTCTTTTTCTCCCATGGCCTAGCTGCAAGATAATAGTACTTATACTAATACTACCAGTTTCATTGACTCCTTGAAAGTTTTTCCCTTGAGAAAGGTGAACTGAATGTGACATGTCGAACAGAGAGAGCTATAAAATGCTTTGATTGTTTTAGTATGGCGTGATACAAGTCTACTTCACTGTTAACATAAACTGGGCACAATGCATTTTAACCAATGAAAGGTTTATTCCCGAAACGTGGGAACAATTACCACAAGAATCGAAGACTTAAACATTTCCAAAAGAGGTTTCACTAAAACACTTACTCTCAAGTGCATTTGTCGATGTCATATTTACAATTTATGGTTATTTAATGTTTCCTTTTCTTTTACTCAAATTTTATCATGCAGATTTGTTTAATAAGATTGTTTAGAAAGGGTGAAGGTGTTATAATCTTGGAGAACAGTTAGTTTTTTTAACCTTGCAAACTTAAAGGTGATGTTTCCTCTTAGATCCGTTTCTTGGGCCTGGTTCTTTTAAATTTATCTGCCATTAAATTGTCTTCAGATTTATACATGGCTCGCACAGACCTTGAACGGTCCTTGAAAAATTGTTATATCCTTAAAGAGTTCTTAAAAATGAAAAATTTAGGTTTTCCAATTTTACCAGCAGTCCTTTAAATTTGTTGACAAGTCCCAGAAGACCTCAGACTACACCATAAAACAGGGCAATATTGACGCAAACTGTAGGTTGAGAAAAACGATTCAAGTCGCAAAAGATTGATTTTGATGATACAGGAATTGAGTGATCATTATATGAAGTATTTCTGTCCTCAGCAGGCTCTTAAGTATTCTGTATTTTGTGTCACCGGCCGAAACAAACTTTAACAGCTGATTCGAAGGGGAACGAGTCCTTGAATGTTGCTGAAATGTCCTTGAAAAAGCACTGAATAGTCCTTGGGGAAGAAGGACTGAAGTTTGTACAAATCATGTAATTATTTCAAGTGTAATTAAGTAACAGTTGACAACCTTTTCTACCCTATTCAGACTTACTACATCTACTATGGGCCCTTGACAAGTGGAGTCAATCCTCGGCCAGTGGGTCATACTTCAGCGATGAGTTTTGCGGTGGGCAACTTGCAACAGGACATTGTTTATGTGTTTGAGGTGTCCGTGGGTTTGACGGGGAAGCACAGTGATCCAGTCAATTCCAAGACATTATTTGGTTTGTAATTTTCATTATGCAGCAGCGAAATTACTATCGTTCAATAAGCACGCAATTAGTGCGTGAGGGGAAATTTGAGTCACTTTGCCAAATTTCATTTTGATCTTTATTATCATGACCCTGTTATTGTTGCTTTTTATTGATTCTGACTACACTAACACGAGACATTCAATCAGTTTTTCTTGCGTCTGTCCTGTTATTGATCATGAATTTCGTCATAGCATTGTCAAAGAAGCTGTGGATCCACAAGGCGATAGCCGAGTGGATCCGCAGACAACAATTTGTTTGTTTTTTTTTTTATGATAACAAATTGTCAAATTGTCCGCTCTCGCTCGTTGACGCATCTCATAAATTATAAATTCACGTTTCTGTCCGCTACTTGACAATAAAAATAAGCCAAGGAGCGCGCGAGAATTTCTGCAGTTATCATAAAATAGTTTAGTGAGGATGCTTCCGTCAGTTTTCTGATATAGATATATTCCGTCTTACTAGGTAGTATGTATCTTTGCAAATTACAAGTGTGGTCATAAGTAACAGTTATCTCATTAATTTGTTGTTTCTTGTGCTAGATGCGGAAGATGAGCCTGTACATAGTCTGAAGGCTGTTGTTACCGATTTCAGTACTATTGTTCTAACTTGGGAAAAACCAGCGGGCGTATCTTCGGATGCCATCAAAGTATGTACTACTCGGATTCCTGTCCGATATTGACATGCGATACAAAGTCAATGAACTTTTTAAAATGTGCTTGAAACTTCAGACTTTAAACTCTCTGGTGGTTTAAGCCCGTGAATGACCTTGTCCATTGAATCATGCGGAAAGCCTTCGAACTTTACTGGTCCCAAATGTTGTTTATTCTATTTGTTATTCCATCCAAAGTACTCCTAAATAAGCCTGGGGATACCACCCCTCAGTGTGTGTGACCATTCATGTAAAAGCTATTGAGCAGCACTTTCATGTGGTACTGTTCATAATGCGATGCAAGATAATTTCACCTTTTAAGTCTGTGGATGAAACCCTATTGTGTGAAATAAAAGCAGTTGACTACAGAGTAGTATGTTCATCAGGTATTTTTTATTATCCTTTACAAGCTAGTTCTAACCCGACAAATTTGTGGATAAGCCCATAGTCTGCTACCACTAAAATTGAACGTGTATTTTTGTTATATTTTTCAGAACTATGAGATTAAGCAGTCTTTCAAAAATCCGATGTCTGGACATCAAACAACGGTCAACACACGCACTCTCGGCAAGGAAACTACCTACACCTTCAACCACCTCTATTTTAACACCAGCTATTCTTTTGACGTGATGACAAGATTTTCCAAAGGTGGTCTTGGTAAGGGCATTACCGTCGTGATGATGACCGGTCCTTTCTCAGCTTCTATTGGGCCCTTGCAAAAAACAATTCGAGACAACACTGTCATACTGTCTCGGTCTGCGCCACGGACAATTAATTTGAACAGAGATCTCAAGGTAAATACTGTGCATGTAACATTCTTCTTGGCATTGAGACGAAAGTGCAATTTTTATATACTTAATTACTTGTACCGTGTCATAAGGTACATATAAATTGTATAAGGCTATGACATTCTGTCAGATGGTAGTTAGCACACATCAGTGACAAAGTAAATGGTTTGAACTAAGAGTATTAGTAGTTCAACTAGTGCGATCGTCTGGATAACAGAAGTTTAGCAGCTCTCATACGCTTGTTATTCTTTTGCTTGTTAGCAGCTGTTATTGTTTGGGGCTAGGGGCATTGTTTCTGTTGCTCGTCCTATTGTCCTCTCAAATGGTATCAAGTCATTCATGTGAGACCTTACGAGAGCTGCTATCCGACCCCTGGGTAAGGGTAGTTCTGAATAGAACTTTTATTGGTGAACGTTTCGACAACGTGAGCGGAGGCCATATTTAGAGTCAAGTGAAAAGTATTTGAGAGTCGATCTTGTCCGTTGAAACTTAAGCCGTGATGATATGTGCTGTCAGTTTCGTGTACCGTTTGCCAACTGCCATTGTTCAGTTGTAGTAACTATTGTTCATCACATTTTTTGCCACGAATTTGTCGTTTGTAAGGTACCGGTAGCTGCTGACACCTGTTGACAGGCGTTTGTTCTAAGCTGGTGAACCAGCCCCCTTCACCCACACGATCGCACAGTGACACGAGACGAAGTCATTTATCAGTGGTTGTAACATACAGTTATGCACACATCAGTAACGGCCCACTTATATTTTATTACTTTGTCGTCTGTTATTTTGTTGGTGCTGATTATTGTTATTATTTCTATTTTTTTACCACGCTCCAGAATTACAACATCTCTTGGACATGTTCTGGGTGCTACTCTCAGAACTCTGGTTCAAAAGTGTCATTGAAGGACACGACAACC